GGCGCTGTACCAGTTCGTGCGCGAGTCCCTGCAGAGCGACTGGCTGCCTTTTGAGCTGCTGGCATCCGGGGGGCACAAGTTGGTGGAGGAAGAGACCCCGGCCTTCAAAGAGTGCGGGCTGGAGAGTCAGGTCCCCGCCCTGGGTCCCGCCCCTGGGCGGGGCCTGAAGCCGCGGGGGGGGGGGGAGGAAGGCGGGGCCGGGGCTCCCTGTGGGCCCCTGCTGCCAGGATCTGTCTTGATGTGGGACAGGGCCTAGGAGCAGGGTCTACCTTATGACTAGCATGACCTTGAATGACTTTGTAACTTCCTGGTGGCTCAGCTGCCTTCCTTTCTTAAAGGGGGGGGGAGGTCTTTTTTTTTTGTCTATCGTGGGGCTTGAACTCTGGCCTGGGCACTGCCCCTCAGCCCTTCAGCTCAAGGCTACCACTCTACCACTTGAGCCACAGCGCCACCTCTGGTTTTCTGGTGGTTCATTGGCAATCTAGAGTCTCACAGATTCCCCCTCCCCCCCCCCAAGCTGGCTTTGAACCATGATCCTCAGATCTCAGCCACCTGAGTAGCTAGGATTGCAGGCGTGAGCCACGGGCGCTGGGCAGGGTGGAGGTCTTCTGAGTCTTGGAATGAGATTGAGTTAAGACACAGGGACCTCGTGGGAGGCCACAGGCCGGACAGTGTGGGCAGATGTGGGAACCTGACGTTGTTTGCATCCAGTGGCTTTGGCTGGGTTCAAGTCTCTGAGCCCAGGTTCCCCTTCAGAGGAGTCTGCTGTAGGAGTGGCCAGCTCCACTTGACTGTCCTGTTGTGAGGTCCCACGGAGACAAGGTGACCTTTGATGTCCCACTGTAGGTGCCCTCTGCTCTCCTGACTTTCGCGTGGGATGCTGCTGTGCTGGAGGACATCAGGGCTGCAGGGACAGAGCTGGACTCCTCGGTGCTGAAACCGGAGCTCCTGGAGGCCATGGAGAAGCTCTCCTGAAATAAAAGCAGGGTTGGCTCGGCCTGCGGCTCTGTTTCATGCTCTCCCCATCCGTCCCTCCCTGGAGCTGCCCTGCCGCCTTGCCCCAGAGCCCCTGGCCATACGAGGGTGCTGGCTGGCTGTGTTGCTGTGTAAGGGGCCCATTCCAGAGACTTCGTCCCAAGCAGGGGTGCTACTGACATGCACTGGAGCCCACTAGGGACAGCACTGCATCTAAGGCCTCCCCAGCCACTGTCCTGTGGAGCCTAGGGTACTCCTAGGTGGGCCTCTCCCTGGGTCTAGCAGATCTGAGGTTTGAGGACAGGGCCCGCAAGCTGTGGACAGAGGCAGCACATAGATGTGTAATTTCTAAATTATGAACCTAAATAAAATAGGATATTTAACTATAGCTTCCTGGTGTTTTGTTGGGGCCCTAGACACGGCTCCCTACTCTCAGGGGCTTGTGTCTGGCCAGGCCATAGCCCCAGAAATGGAGAAGATACCTGTACCCACAATGCCCAGCCCTGAGAGGGTGCTGTTTTACGTTGCTGTAACAAGATGGCCAAGGCTGGCTGAAGTATGATTGTGTAGCTGTTTGGGTGGTAGATGACATGATGCGGGGGCCTGGGAGAGGCCAGGGTCACAAGGTGAGAGGAAACCAGTGGAGGGGCAGGGCCAGCTCCTTCGCAACAACATGTTCTTCACAACTATCTGGGCGCACGCCCTTGTCAGTACCAGGGCCCACTCCCTCTCAGCATGCTTGCTCATGCTGGTGCTCTACCACTTGAGCCACAGCTCCTGTCTAGCATTTTACTGGTTAGTTGGTGATGGCTTCCTATGGACAGGCTGGCTACCTCCGCCTCCTGAGCAGCTCCGATAACAGCTTGAGCCACCAACTCCTGAATCTCTTTTGAGGGTAATGACCTAGTTATCATCTCCCTAAGGGCTGTGCCTTAGAGGTTCTACCTCTTGAACTGTGGGCAACACCACATCCAGGCCACACCTGTGGCCTGAGGCTCCCATTTGTTCACACATGGCCAAAATTCTCAGGACCTGACTGTCCCTCCTGTGTCAGAAGGGTCTTTAGAGCACATGGGATCAAGTGACAGGCCCAGAGCTGGGATCATCCTGAACTATTCAAGACCCATCCTTCTCACAGGATCCTCGTAGGAGGCTGAAACAGACTGGGAGAAAGTGCACTGGGATAGAGAGGCTAGGTCCAGGAGTCAAGGGATGGGACTGGCCAGCATGGAATCTCCCTGGAACCCCCACCCCTGCAGCAGGGAGGCTGGTGTTGGGCCTTGGGCCTCTAACTGTGAGATAAATCTGCACCACTTCTGGCTTGTTCTACTGGACACGGGAGGCTAGATGCCTAGGGCTGAGAGTGTGTGTCCGGAGGCCACAGTGACTTGATCTGTCCATATAGAGCCCATTCCCACTCCAGGCTGACTCAAGGTGGTATCTGAGCCACCTGGCTCAAACCCTTCATGCCAGCCCGTGAGGGGGCTGTGGTTGCTGGCCCTCTGACCACTGCCACCTCTGACAGACTAAAAGTTTATTTTTTTGGTCGGTTGTGGGGCCTGAATTTGGCCTGGGAGTGTCCCTCAGCTCAAGGTGAGTGCTCTACCACTTGAGCCACAGCACTTCTGGCCTTTTCTGCTTACGTGGTGCTGAGGAATCAAACCCAGGGCCTCATGCATGCAAGGCAAGCACTCTACCACCGAGCCACCTTCCCAGACCATGAAGCCTTCAAGTTTTAAGGTCCTTCATTTCTTAGTGAGAAATAAGCAAAAATGTGTCACTATTAGTTCCCTCTGTGGCCACTAGCAGCTTTGTCAGCACTGCGCTGAACTGCACAAGCGTACCTGGGTATCTTCACCCTGGCCTGTCTTCCACCTGCCTACCTGTTCCCAGGATTCCAAGTTGCCAGGTGCCCTAGTAATATGGTCTAAGGACTGCATGTGTCCCTATTCCCCAGTAGAAGGGCCTGGCTGGACCCCATCTGGTTGATGTTTGTTTTTTCGGTTGTGGGGCTTGAACTGGACCCCATCTGGAACTAGGGTGGTAGGCTGTAGGAAAAGAGATGGGGGTCAGGTACTAGTGGTGCACAGCTAGAACCCTAGCTACTCAAGAGGCTGAGATCTGAGGATCATGAGCAACATGGTTAAAAGCCAACCCAGGCAGTTAAGTCCATAGGCTTAAAAAAAAAAAAATTGGTGGGCTGGGAAGGTGGCTCAGTGGTAGAGCACTTGCCTTGCATGCCTGAGGCCCTGGGTTCAATTCCTCAGCACCACATAAGCAAAAAGAAAAAAGCCAGAAGTGGTGCTGTGGCTCAAATGGTAGAGCGCTAGCCTTGAGCAACCAGACCCTCCCCCCCAAAAAAAGAAAAAAAAAATTGGTTGTGGGGCTTGGAACTCTGGGCCTGGGCGCTGTCCCTTAGCTCAAGGCTAGCACTGTCAGCTTAAGGCTAATTGCTCTAACATTTGAGCCAGTGTCACTTCCAGTTTTCTGGAGATAAGAGTCTCATGGACGGACTTTCCTGCCCTGGCTGGCTCTGAACCCTGATCCTCAGACCTCAGCCTCCTGAGTAGCTAGGGTTACAGGTGTAAGTCACCAGGCCTGGTTCCATGAGACTCTTATCACCAATGAACCAGCAAAAAGTTGGAAGCGGAGCTGTGGCTCAAGTGGGAAAGCACCAGCCTTGAGCAAAAAAGCTCAGGGCAGCGCCCAGGCATGTACAAAGAGTTGGGGGGAGGAGGATGAGTGAACTCAGGAACACACACTTGACTGAGCGGCAGAAGCACCTGTGCCAGGGCAGCCGGGGAAGCTGAGGAATTAAGGACTACACACCTGGGGCAACGCTTTCCCAGACCAGACCATACTGGGCCGCAGCTAGACACACTCACCAAAGAAATGATGCATCTGACACAAGACAGTTCAAGGCTAGAGAATAAGTTTATACACTTCCATATCAGTCCAGGCACTGGCCTCCAGGCCCCAGCATCCCTGTTGCTTCAATTCATTTACAGGCGTTTGACCCCAGCACCTAGGGGTGGGGGGGCAGCAGGCGGCCGGGAGGAGTCACCACCTTGCAATAATGCTTTATTAAAGGACAGATTATATGCAGCTTTTCTGGGAAATTTTTACACGTGTCTAAAGGAAAGGAATCAAGCATCCTATATAAAAACTCTCCAGGCCTCGGTGAGGCCAGCGAAGCAGGACAAAGTGCTCTTTACAGGAGTCCAAGTAGAAAGTTCAAGTATCCGGTCAGCGGTGGGGGCACCCAACGGTGCTGGGCCCTCAGGAGGCGCCGAGCGGGTTTGCGGGCAGCAGGCTCTCACCAGTGCCCAGCCCCACGGTGCCCTCAGCTCCAGAAGTGACTCTGCACGGCTGCTGGGCTTCTGAGGGAGGCAGAGAGGAGGGTCTTTGCGCAGCTGTATCCCTCAAGTTAGGTCCCCCGCCCCGGGGAAGAACCTTCTTGGGGGTGCATCTGGTGGGAGGGGGGAGGTACTGGGGCCCACTCACCGGCCCTGACTCCTCTCTGGTGACCAGCTGATGGGTGTGCCCATGGCTGGGCCCCTGAATTCCTTCTGCCCGGCTCGTGATCCCTCTGTACCTGCGGCTCTGCCCTCCTTACCAACATCGGGGATGTCCACTATCATGCAGTCGCTGTCCTCTTCCTCCTCCTCCTCCGTGTCTGCCTGGAACCCATCCATGTCCCCAGCTCCTGCCTGCACAGAGAAACCACAGACCGTCACAGGAAGGGGCGGACCCCTGCTGGGGCCTCCTCTCCCTCTTGCACACAGGGCAAAAAACCCAGTTCAACCCAATTTGACGGCTCAGTCTCCATACGTGAGCCCTATGGCCAGGGAAAGCCTGGAGGTGGGGGGAGTCCCCTAAAAAAACGAGCCATACTCCCACCTTGCAGAACTCCCCTTTACCACTGTCCACCTCACTACGAAAACCACCTGAGGACTTGTTGCTGGGACAAAACTGGAGGCTAGGTAAGGAGGAGACGAAATCTTTGAACTCCAAAGAAACAGTTCTGGGTTTCTGCTTGAAGAGGAACTGATGAAACACCTTCTCAGCACCTGCTTTTTGCAAGCCCCTAGAGGCCCATCTTGCTGCCCAGATCTCCGGCCAGACCAGCTGTGCCTGGGGTGCCACTGGGCAACTGCAGAGGTCTCAGAGTTCTGATTATCGGCCTCTGTCCCAGCAAGGACGGGATGCATCCGTGGCAGGGCAGGAGGGAAATCACGGTGCTTCTGCAACCAGTCCATAGCAAGGACCATCCAAGGACAGAGCTAGGCTTACTCTAGAGGGCAGCTTTCTCTCAGACCATTTTTTTTTGCTCATCCTGGAACTTGAACTGTGGGGGTTGTTCCTAACTTTTGTGCTCAAGACAGGTGCTCTACCACTCGATCCAGAGCTCCACTTCCAGCTTTTTCTGGCCAATTGGAGATAAGAGTCTCATGCACTTTCTTGCCCAGGCTGGCTTTGAACCATGACCCTCAGGTCTCAGCCTCCTGAATAGCCAGGGATTACAGGTGTGAGTCATGGGCACCTGGGTCTCAGACCACTTTTAAAGTTCTTCCACACAAATGTTTGCCTAAGAGGGGGATCCTTGTGGTGAGTGCCTGGAATCTTAGCTCGTTGGGAGGCTGAGACACTGGAATCCTGTGAGATTTGAAGCTAGCCAGGGTAAAAACAAACATCTCAGCCATTTCAACCAATCAAAACTGGGTCTGGTGACTCTCCTCTCATGCCTGTTATGTCGGAAGCCTGAGCAGGAAGACTGTGCACAGTCCAGGCCAGACTAGGCACACGTGTAAGACCCTAGCTGAAAAACAACTAAGACGAATAGGACTGGGGGCATGGTTCAAGTGGCAAAGCACAAGGACTTGAGTTAAAGTCCCAGTACCACCAAACAACAAACACAAAGAACAAAATCAGCAATAGCCAACAAATGACAGGCTTCCCGGCCTCTCAGGCAGGCTTCCTCTGCCAGTGGCCTGTCAACGCTCAGGGGGCGGTCCCACATCGGCTCTGGGTAGAGGCAACCCTGCCTTGGGAAAAGGTGGTGCCCCCTTTTTCCAGGCACCTACCTCCAGGACAATGCCCACAGCGTCTCATTGTGCCCATCAGCCACTAATTCTGGAGGGGCCAAGGCAGACCTAAGAGCTGCTGTGGTATCCGCAGGAAGAGCTGGTGGAAGTGGACATTTTCCTCTGATGGAGGAAAATCACCATCCTGCCTCCACTGGGCACCGGGTTCAGTGCACGCTTATGCAGAACGCACCCTGTGTTGAAGTCACAGGCTGTAACTGTCACTTCCCCATCACCACTGGCCCTGCCCAAGTACAAACACTGTGGTCAAGAAAGCAATGGAACTAATGTCTAGTGTTGTCTTCCTTTGTTTTTGACATAAGGTCTGTTACCAGGGCTGGCTTCAGAAGTCCTACGCTCCTGTAATCCTTTTGCCTCTAGAAGGCTGGGACCACAGATGCCTGCCACTATACTGGCCTGCCCTTTTCCTTTTCTTTTTTTGCAAGGTACTGGGGCTGGAACTTGGGGTCTTGCACTTGCTAGTCAGGTACTCTGCCCCTTGAGGTCCTGTGTGTGTCACTGGATCACTGGAGGCACCTCAGGGCTGGAAGCTGGACTGAGAGGTAAAGGAAAACATAGAAATGGAGGAAGCTCAGCCCACAAACATGCACACGAGACAATCTCTGTGGACGCCTAGCGGAGGACAGAGGCTACACAGCGGGCAGCGCCGGTGTACGTGGCATTCTCAGACCAGGGTCCCCAGGAAGGCACAGGACACAGATGTCTCCTGGGACATCCGAGGACCATGTGGCGGTGCTGCCCGTGCAGTGTCTGGCTTTGTTTCTCTGCACAGAATCCTGTGCTGGGTCTTTTTACAAAGTAGGTGGCAGCCCCAGGGCAAAGATGAGCCCCAAGCTGGGCGGGCACCGTGTGGCTTTCACTTAGGCCCTGTGCGCTACTGTGCCCATCCGAGGGCCCTGTGAAGCCCATCTGAGACCCCTCATGTCCCTGTCCCCCGAGCCTGGACTCCTCACAGGCCAGCTGGTGACTTGTTCTAGCAGTGGCAGAATTTCCTTCCCTGGAGGTTGGAAGAGGTGGAAAGCACCTCACAGTCCCTACCAGCACTCACTGCACCCTGGGAGGAGAGGGGGTCTCTAGATCACTTCCAACAAGTGGCGCCTGCCCCAGGGCAAGCCTGAGGGTGCAAAGGCGACACCCTGCTTGAATGCTAAGCACAGTCATGACTTTGAGTGGCCCCTAGCTTAGCCCTACCCAGGCAACAGCTGGACACAGTCTAAGATTGGGGAAATGCTAATGAGGAGGTCCTTTTGAGCCACAGCACCACTAACGGTTTTCTGGTGGTTCATTAGAGTTAAGAGTCTCATGGACTTTCCTGCCTGGGCTGGCTTTGAGCCGCAATCCTCAGATCTTAGTCTCCTAAGTAGCTAGGATTACTGGCGTGAGACCCTGGCATCTGGCTAACAAGGTTCTTAAGTTAGGGGACACTGTGTGCACAGGCCAGAGGTGCTGAGGCAGCCTCATGACACCAAGCCTGAGAGGTTTCCTCCAAATCCGGTGGCAGGGAGGCTCATGGTGCCTAACCCATGTGCCATGGGCAGCAGCAAGGTGCCAGGCACCTCCGTGCAACTATTTCTTCACCATGTCTCGGAGCACTTTATTCTACTCTTGCCAAGTAAACACGGCACACAGCCTGCTATCCACACTCCTGTGGGGAGAGGCATGTGCAGCTTGCCCCCCTGCAGAGCCGGGCCACGGTGAGCAGAGGTGCGTCCTCTGAGCGCCTCTCCTGTGCCGTGATCGCTCGGGTGTCCCGTGCACACGCTTCCTACACAGACGGGGACCCCGCCACTGACTGTGCTAAGGGACAGCAAGCATGAGTCGCCCCGCAGGGCCACCGGAGGGCCGGTCACCATGCAGCTGTGCCCCAAGAGCGAGCCCTAACTGGTGGAAGCGCACGTGACTGGGCAGGACCTGCGTGGGTGCTGCTTCTCAACCTCAGATGGCTGTAGGGCGGGTGTGTGCGCTCTGTGGAGGCGCCCTGGCGGCTCACCTGGCCATCATGCCTGCGCTTCTTCATGAACTGCGTGATGCACATGCTGCCCGCGGACTTCCGCTTCAGCGTCACGGGCGGGCCCGGGACGCTGCCAGTGTCCTCCCGGGACGCCGCAGGCTCCATGGTGACGTAGCTCCACTGACAGGGCACGGGCAGGTGCTCCTGGTCGAAGCTCTTCAGCACCTGTGCGTGGACGTACCAGCACATCCTGAAGTCCGGCCTCTTCTCGTACACCGAGTTCTCGGAGATGAGCCGCTTGAGCCGGGCTTTGGAGGGCACAGCGGCGGCCTCCTCGGTGGAGCTGGGGCTCGGAGGGCGGGAGGAGGTGGGGCTGGGGGGACTGGGGGCGCTCCCGGGACTCAGCAGGCCGCGGCGGCAGTGCTCCTGGAACTCCCGGATGATCACTTTGCTCCCGTTTACGTTGCCGTGCAGCAGCGGGAGCAGCTGGGCCAGGACTGGCGGGACAGGGGGAACAGGGAGGACTTGAGACACTTGGGAAAACATGCCCACAGCCTGGAGGCTGTGGGGTCACACAGCCAGGTTTAGGCAGTAGATAAGCCAGGGCCATGTGTGCCCAGCAGGCTCCCCAGGCCAGCACTGTTGAGCTGCCACAGGGACCTCAGCTGCCGTGGGCTCTTGCTCAGCCACCAGCTGCCGGGCACTCAGAAAGCTGAGAGGTGAGGCAGGGAGGTGTCACCCCCTCACTGTAGCAAGCACTCTGTTGGGGTCTGGTTGGTGGTGAAAATGACCAGGAACAAGACCACACTAAGAGTGGGTATGGTGAGGCCGGTCACCCCAACACTCCAGGGTGGGAGGATCCAAGTCTGAGGCCAGGTGGGCTGCAGAACAAGACCTTGTCTCCTAAGACTGGGGTGCAGCTCAGTGGCAGTAGCCATGCTTATCAGTACAGCCAAGGCCCTGGGTTCCATCCTCAGGATATGAAACCAGCCCGGGAGTGGGATTTGCAGGACCTACCCTCAGTGCTGTGGCCGTGCGTGTCAGCTCAGGTGAGCCTGCCCATCCACCCCAGACACCTGAGGCCTGACTCACTCTGCTGGTCTCTCTTCTCTCGCTTGGAAGCCTGGGGCGTCCGCTCTTCCTCGGGGGGCGCGGTGTCCAGCAGGCACACCGTGAATTGTTGCAGCAGCTTCAGCTCAGCGCTCGCGCAAGCGCTGTCAGTGGCCCACACGCAGCCCACCTTGACGGGCTGCAGGACACGGAACCGCTTGCCCTTGGCCAGGTACTCGTCCCACTCCTTGGCCTTCAGCTTCTGCCGCACCTTGTGGTTCTCCGGGTCGGCACACTCCTGCAGGTGGCAGACAAGGTTGTCCGGCGTCCCCATTTCTAGACAGTCTGGTGTGCACCTGACCAGGTATTTCCATTCAAGCCCCTTCCTGCCTCTCTGGCTAATGCACCCCACCGAGCAAGGCCACCTTGAGACCACTCTTCAAGCACGGGCCATCTAGGGCACAGCAGGACATTGTGACCTTTAAATCTGACCCCACGACTTTTTTTTTTTTTTTTGGTCACTCATGGGGCCTTACCTCTGGGCCTGGGCGCTGTCCCTCAGCTCTTCAGCTCAAGGCTAGCGCTCTACCACTTGAGCCACAGCGCCACTTCCGGCTTTTTTCTTTTTGCTTA